GGACGCATCCAGGAACACGTGCTTGTGCTACTCTAAGTCGATTTCCGTCTCGGCATATTCGCCAGACGCAATAGCTTCTCCGTCCATGACCCCACTAACGTACGCATCCCCAATAAGCTCATACCTGCCTCTCTTCGTAGGTCGAATCACGAAAGGAACTTCAGAACCCAGTAACAGACATATCGCATCGCCAACCTTTGTTTCTCTGGGTACCAAGCAAAGCCTACCGACCGTTGTGCGAGAGAACCTCCTAGGACTGGCAGCAGCTAGGACAGTCATCTCCACCGGCACAGCAGCCGCCACGAAAGTCAACCGTGCCTTGTTCGCCTCTTCGGGGTCTTCAGAGACGAGCCAGGTCTCCATGTTTGTTATCATAGTCTTGATAGGCTCTGACAAGTCCACGTCGATGCGGTCGCTCAGCTGGCTTCTCTCAGACGTCAGAGTCTTCCAGAAATCAGAGAGACGTTCAGGACTCATGTCTTGAATGCGGTCAGAACCTGACGCAATGCGAACGCAGGATTTGTAGAAGTTGAGCGACCTAAGGGAATTTCGGGCGTAATAGGCATCCATCTTATCGAGCGGGTACGGGACGTGCTTAGGTTTTGGCGGGAGTGGCAGTTCGGGCCAGAAGATCCCATCTTCCTCAACGGTATCGATGAGCATGCCAGAACATCTTAGTATCTTGTCGTCGATAATTTCGAGTTTCCCAAACTGTGTCCCGCCGGCTGAGAACTTGCCATACCGAACGCTGTAGCTTGGCAAAGCATCTAACTCCTGGTTCCGCAAGTCAGGTACCCAAGTTGGGAGACCTGACAGCCTTTGACGCTTCCATCGGTATATATGTCGGTAGTACCAGGGTAGCGTGACATCAGTGATCAGTTTCTGCGGCGCGGATGCCAGAACGCCGATGTCCTTCTTCTCTAGGAGCTGAGACCGGGCGAAGCGTAAGTAACACTCTTGGACCGAGAGAGTATATAAGTTATCCCGAGATATAATGCTGTCTTTCTCAACATCTGAGGCGTAGCCCAAGACACCCAGAATGTGGTCTCGAGGATCGGTACATTGAAATGCTCTGGTGGCTTTGACGCCGTCCATCAGCGTGACTGGCTGCTTGCCTCGATACCATTGACTCATGCGCATCATTGAAAGGTTGTAAAGACGGGTTGGGAGAAAAGTCACGTTGCTGTCGTTCACAGTCCCATCTTTGGGCAGAGCTTGGATTCCAAACGTTGACATCCGCAGGGCCAGCTCTGAGAGTGGTTGAAAAGGCATCATGAGCTTCCCACAATAGAGCCAAGTGTTATCGTTAAGAATCGCCTCTTGATAAACCCACTTTCTTTCGAACCAAGTGTGGTTCATTAGTGCCCTGAGAGGTCTCCAATCTAGATTCCAGATAGTGGACTTGCCCTCTCGGGCTCGTTCCTCGTTGCGAGTGGCAAGGATATCTGCACTCTTTCTGTTCTGGTGAGGGTCGTCCACAACCTCAGGGATGATCTCAGATGCCTCCTTGATAACATCCTGGACTCCATCGATATTGGAATCATCACTCCCGAGCCAGATCTTGACAGCTTCCGCATTTGAGTAAATTTCCGACATTCGCCCAATTTGTTGGGTTTTCTCGAAAGTGTTCCTCTGGTTGATGCAAATGGAGTCGGCCCAAAGTACAACCTCCTCTGCAGGGGAGCGCCAGCGCTTTAGTGCTTCGAACAGAGTCTTAGTGATTTGAATTTCTTTCTCTTTGCAGGTAATGTATGCTTTGTCCCGGGCATTTCCCCAGGCATAGGAAACGGCATGGTATTTGACTGGCGCGTTGAGCCACTCGTTAGTGAGGTCAATTCGAACATCATCGTCGTCATGTCCGGGAAGCAAGTGAATGAGGCGAAATTGGCCCTCTTTGAGTGAATCGTGCGCGTATTGAGGCGGAGGTCGGAGCAAGCGCTGGAGTCGAGACGCCAAGCTCTTGTCTGTATCGAGGAAGAACAAGTGAGATGCGACCGGGGCAGCCAGAATGACTGCAGCGCCAATGGCATAGAGGACCCGTCTATCAACGCCGATATCGTCCATTGATATTGACATAATCGATATGAAATGATGGAACTGGCTGGCTGGGCCTCGCTTGCGAGTGCTGCTGAAGGTTGGTTTATCCCAGTTAACTTGCGGAGACGGGTGAGAGACGAAGGTGGTTCCATGTCGGCATGTGTTGGGCCAATCATATTGTTTGCAGGGAGTCCCTCCCCAACCTCACATCCTCTTCAGCTTGTTGCGAGACTAGTCAAGGGGCCTTAGATCGCCGACTCGATTGCCTCAGGTCACGCGAGCTTAGGCAGGATGTTTGTCAGAATATGATACAAGGCGGGCCGAAAGTTGAGGTGAGTAGGACTTATCCCACCGGTCAATTTGCAACAGCTGATACGGCTCATTTCTCGGCCGATAGACCAAGAGTGGTTTCAATTGAATTTGATGTGTGAACGAGTGCGCTCCATCCAAACAGGAGAAGTCCAGCTGACCAGACCTCGGAGAATAGGAAGTTTCCACAACATTGTCCACAATCCGCAACGATTCAAAGGATAGAAAACGTGGTTCTGAGTCAATTACCCGCACTGAAGAAGAAGCCGGTGCCAACGCGTAAACGCGCGAAGCTGTTTACTCAGCATAGGTACTCCGTGCATACGCTATCCACAAACGAGTCAGCGCAACCTGTGTCTGATCAACTGAATCATGGACACCCCCAGTCGCGCGTCTCAGATTGAGCGATAGCACACCGCTGCTAAGATTTAAGCTTGGCTCTGGATCGTAAAGTCCTAACATCTCCACAACTTCTGTGCGTCACCATCGGCGAGCACCCTTCGTATTCTATATCGAGAACAAGTATTACCGGCTTCTTCCAGACTTACTTTACTTGACATTTCACTGCCATTTACAACAAATCGACGTTGCACATAGTGTTGTTGATTAACGGACAACGAGCGGAATCCGCATTCCGTTTCGGCCGGGCGGGAATATGTTCAAGGAAGAAAGCTACTCGAGGCCGATTCAATCGGATAGGAGAGGTGATGACATTTCCATCCACTGAGACTGGCAGAGTTGCCGAGAAAAGCATGACTGGTGCTTACTGATGCTTTCTTTGCCCGTCATCCTATACAATTATCATGGTAAAGGTCTCACAAGACCTTATCACTCTACGAAAACGCGGACATAAGGTAAGATTGCGGTCTCGGCATACTGAGTACGGACACTCTTTGACAAATACCCGTAAAGTATAGCGAATCAAAGACTGGTATACCATGGCCGACCTCGTACGAGTAAGATTCTACCTACAAGTAGATCTTCGCCGACCCGGTGGTTTGGTAGCAAGCGACCTTCCGCTTTCGGAGCCCCAGGAAAGTATACTTGAGTTTGAGTTGGCAACTAAAGCCTCCCACTCTCCCCACGTTTCGGCCTTATCACGGAGTAGCCGTGGCTTGAGCTAGTCTCGAGCACATGTCCCCTTGCAAGTCAAAGAGACAGACCGGGAATATCACGAACTATGCGCATGGGGGAGGACGCCTTGAAAGTCAATTGAGGTGCAACATGGCCCAAGCCACACTGCCAGGCTCATGCTTCGTGCCGTGCTCCCGTCCGCTGCGTGGCAGCCAAGATCAGGGGTGAAAGGGGGAAAGCAGGTCGCTTGACCTCAAACCAGGGCAGATTTTCGCTATCAGCGACTCATCGCCACTTCTCAAGTACACTAATCTGTGACAGGGACCCGTTTGTCTTGATTATCGTGCCAAGGAACAATATGTAAGTGGTGCAATCTGGAATACAAAATAGCGTTTCAGCGCCAAGGTTCGAGTTGCGATGAAGTCGAAAACCATCAGACGATATCAGCAAGTCGGCGAGACGTATCTTCCACTTCTCCACCAAAAGGGGACAATAGTCTAGGGGCGCTATCATTTGCGACGCACAGAAGTGAATATGTCCCTGGTGAATGTGGCAGCTGTCAGATGGAGACCTTCATCAATCATCATTCAAGCAGAAACAAAATTGGGGACCAGACTGCCCAAACGCCAACCTTTGTGAAATGCCTTGATTAATGACGATGATGAGAAACTTGCTGCTCAATGGGTCATCAGATGATTGATTTTCTGCCCCTCGTTTCTATTTCCATCTGCCAGGGAACCCCTCTTCGACGTCTACTTTCGCACGCGCGCGGCGCGCGGATATGCGGAGACGAAAGTCGAGACCCCTGGCCTTACCGTGGGAACCCATGCCTTTCAGCTGCTTCTCATCAGCCTTACCAGGCCAGCCCTTCGAAGACCTCGTTTTCGTGAACACTGCGCCGGTAGGCCGCCCTCCAAGGCTCTTATCAGCAAGAGAGTCGAAGTGAGCACATTTGCTCTCGTTGGCATGTCTGAGGATTTTCGAGGCTATCAGCTGAGGCGTAGCTGAAAGCTCTGCGGGTGGTGGTCCTGAATCCCTCCAGGTTCTGCTTCAGCATAGGAAGATCTACCCCAATGTGACGCTGAAACCCCCATTCCAATGTTACGTTCCTCAAATTTGAGTTCTCGAAGACAGTGTAGCCTGCACAACATGCGAAACTCCAGGCAATTCATCATACCATAAATAACATGATCCTAGGCAATACCAAGACGACGTTCATCTGGTCTCCATTTCGCCGAGAGCCAGAAGGGCTGCCATCCCTTCCCCTGACTAGCATCGCAAGACTAGGCGTGCCCCACTTGGTCACCATTCCGGAAGTCTGGTTCTATTCGAGACGGGTCAGTGTGACCGTTTGGTTTATTGGCGTCTATATTGCGGTCTTCTCTAGGTATAATGGATAAAGTTGTCGTGAGTGATGGGAATGAGTCGAGCTGTATAAAGACGGGAGGTTGAGGACATCAACAAACATCCCTTCAGCAGCTTGTCTCTCATCACCTTCCTTCGCTTCCAACACCGCAATCGTTCTTTTACGAACTTGTCGATCTTTTTTCGAAACAGTCCTTCTTTTCTTGTGCGAAAACATGTCTTTCAACACACTCTTTTTCAAGCACCTCTTGGTAGGTGCAGCCCTCCTCCCAGGCCTCGCATTGTCCTCTCCCGTCGGCAGCGTCGATGCTCGAGGCGTCAAAGTCATTTCAGCGCCCTTGGAAAACGTGACGCCAACCATCATCGACCACGGCCCTCTTGATCTCGAGGGCCTTGAGCGCCTCAAGGACTCCCTCACAAAGTCTATCCGCCCCACGCCGACCCCGGAGGCGAACAGAATCAAGCGCCAGGACGTAGCGTCGAGCACTGTTAACTCTTTGACGATCGCCACCAGCGATGCCTTCGTTTCGGTCGATATCGGCGATATCAACCTCGTTGATAGCAACTCTGCCAACTGCCACTCTGAGGAACTCAACGGGCCGTTTGATTCTATTCAGTTCTTCACTGGAACTACCAATATGCGCGCCATCAACGCTACGAGCAGCAGTGGAAACACAAGTTCAATCGCCAGCGTAAGTAAAACTTGCCACTCTTAAGCTTAATGAAAATCGTAAGTCTGACATGAACCTCCGCAGAAACTCGAAGGCTGGTTCGATGCAGGCGTCTTCAAGTTCGAGAACGGCGACCGTATCAAGGAATTTTGGGTTCTCGAGAACCGCGGCGCCTTCAACGGCTTCAACTTCACAACTACTAGCGGAAAGACATACTCTGCCATGGGCCAGGTCCTCCGCGACCCTATCCCGATGCAAAAGGTCCCCGTTGGATCCGGCATCCTGGGCCGTATGCGCGTGCAGTACTGCAACATTGGTCTGATCGGCCACGTCGGCTTTGACTTCCTCGACGAGCTTCAGTCCGTCTCCGTCAGCAACATTGCTTACTCTGGCTTCACGGACAACATCATGCCTTCCGGCCCCGGACAGACCATGACTGTCGGATCCCAGATTGTTGATAACCGTAACTCCACCGCTGAGCAAATCATCACGATCATGACGATGGATGCCGTCACCAAGTCGCACACTCTGAGCGTTGCAAACCAGTGGAACGTGGGTGGCCGCGTTGCCGTCGAGGCTGAGGCTGGCATCCCGCTCATCGGAAAATCCAAGGTAACAACAGAGTTCTCCTGGCAGGTGCAGAAGACCACCGTAAGTTATAGCTTTTCTCAATTCATCTATTCCGGAATAGTTCGCTAATGGTATGACCAACTCAGACTGAGGAAGACACTGAGGGAGAGACCCTGACCAAGTCTGCCACCATCAACCTCAAGTGCCCGCCCAAGAAGTACTGCGTCGGCTCCTCCTTCTTCACAATCTTCAAGATGAACGTCGAGGCCGAGGCCACATTCCGCGCGAAGACCAAGTCGGGCAAGGACTTCTTCTGGAAGCAGAAGGGCAAGTACGAAGGTGCCGACTCCCTCGCCCTGCAGCTTCAGGTTGATGAGGCAGACGGCATCATCGGAAGGCGCGCTCCTATTGTCAAGAACTTCTGATTCTGATACCCAGATACCCATTTTCCTTGATTCGTCAATCTCGAGCAGGCGGCATTGTACTCTATTGTTTTTTTCTGCTTGTTGCTTGTGTACCGCGCTGGGAGCATCATATTCCCCCAAACTCACGACTGATTTGAGACGAGCATACGACGTTGTTTCCATAGAGACACAACAAATAGATAAGACATTGAGCTCAAAAATCTGAAAGGCTTCCCATTAGTCTTGAAATTGGGCTAGTGATACGAGAATACCGTGCCTTGTCAGTGATACAAATCGTCTAAAGACGTGATATTTAGGGAGGTATTATTCTTAGGGTCTTGACAAATCATTGAAGTTTCGAACTGTGAGGTTGATAGACGGCAATTCAGTTTTTATCAACCTCTCTGTTTTTAGTGTTACTAGCCAGACGGCGATTTTCATGGTGTAGGTCAATTACCTCATGCTGTTGTCATCCACGAAGCTCCAAGCCACAACCAAAGGAAAGTGAGAACGTTGTTCATGGGAACGGCACAAGTTAGTCTTCCCAGCTTATATTAAACTATGTTCTGATTCTTCTAGGCTTCCGTTGCGTTGGACATTTGCACTTCAGGCGGAAGTAACGTAGGTCGAACATGACTGGAGGCATTATGACGCTCTCATAGTGTATGGCATCTGGATGCAAGAAGAAGCTCAATCCGATAGCGTCAATGTTGTGGTTGATTCCAGTTTACGCGAACCTAGAAGATTGACACGAAAATCTATCCAAGTGTTATAGTCAAAACTAACTGAAAATTGATTCCTGTGCCCGCGATAAAACCTTCTAGTGCCCCTACCTATTGGAACAAAAAATGGAAGATGACAAAATGAAGGGATAGCAAAATGAAGGATAACAAGATGGAGAACAGTAAAGAAAAAGAAAAAAGTAGATATCGTCAAAACCTAAGACCAAAACGACAAATTCCAAACTGAAGTAACCAAGAAAAGTTGTAACGATCTTTGCCAGTCTCGTCATACTTCTTTGACAGTTGCTCAAAGAATAGGGCTTGTAACCATCGCCTTATAGATTAGACAAGACTTTCTCAACATGAGCCAATTCCTCCAGTCGAAAATCGTTCAGAATCCGGCCTCTTCGCTGTAAATTCTTAATCTTGTAGACAAGGTGAATAATCTCGCTATGATTATCTAGAAGGCGATATCAGTATATGCTTTCATTCTTTTGCGAAGCTGGAAAGGGTAGTATGACAGGGCCGGCCCTTACGATATTGCACGGCTTCATGAAGCTTGCGGAACCGTCGTTCCGTCCTGAGACCTTCCAAGTTGTGTTTGAAGACGGATACAGCTACGGTAGCCCCAATTGCAAGGACTGGAGTTGCCAAGGTGATGAACGTCAACGAGACTGGGTCAAGCAGTTTTGCTAGGAGGAGATAGGTAGGTGAAACCGAAGAAAGAAGAAGTTTCAAACGTGAAGGGTGCTAGCGGAAGTTGTAGGTGTCGTCTTCGTCCGGTCTTCGTTGTCGCTATCAAGATTTGCACGGGGCTGGGTCGGGACTTTTTAGTGGGTAAGGTAGTGGTAGGGAGAAGTGTGAAGAAGGAGTGATGAGAGAATTGAGGACCACGCCGAGGAGGACCTGAATTTATAGGAAACAGAATAGCGTACATGGTGTTGTTGGGGAAAGAAACGGAAGTAGACATTGGTATCCAAATGAAGTGTGGTATACAGATAGCTGCAAATTCTACGAATATCAGCCAGCGCCTCTCGTCGGAATCCCGGGGCGTGTGCTTCTTAGCTGCGATACTCTTGAAGATACATCAAGTTAGGCATTGGCTTCATCTGTTGGGACTAGTAACGACACAGGGGGTTCAATTTGCCACAGCCACCGACACCAACCGCAGCCCGCTTGAGATGTCCTATCCGTTGAGGGCGTGTGAAAGGCTTGACAGCTGACAGCTTGAGTGGATCGGAGCCTTAGAGCTATAGACTCAAGTTCCCTCTTTGGTTGGAGATACCAAGCTCTCTCAGGTGTAGTAGCCACTTAGCCGGCGGTACTGGCTGCGGTGGTGGTAGCGGAGCGCGGAAAGAGGCGGTGCCGAACGGTGCTCAACAGCCGACTCTTCACCGGTCGCCGTTGACCTTTACATGCCGGAGGAATTTTCAAGCTAGCCTGAAACTCCAATAATGGGATCATACAGCCCTGCCAGCAGACAACAACATAAAAACACCTAGACTTTCGGCTATATTGTCGAAGACCCTGTGGTTAATAGGCACATTGTTAGAGCCTACCAGGATCTGCGATGCCAGGGCTGATACAAGGCAACCGGCCAACCGCTGACCTGGTAATTACTAGTGGATAGGGAGTTGTCAAGAAGCATGGCGCTGCAGACCCAAAAAGAGAGAGTCCAGAAGTACGATTCATTCCCTCCGCGCTGTGATCACCTGGAACAATTCCAGCTTGGCCCCAACAAAGGAAAGAGAAGCCTCGGGTGTGCGAAGAGAATGTTGCTGAGAGGCCGCTGCCCTTTCTACCGGAAGTCCAAAGGCAACAGCCTCATAGACTCAGCGCCTCATCCCACTCCCCGCCAAGCCAGCTATCTATTCTACGGGAATTATCCATTGAAACTAGAGCTGATCCTCTCACGATGCTTTTAGCTAGCGAGTATCAGAAGCCGAGCCCCATGTTCTCACATTCTCACACATAGCCTGGGATGAAAGGAATCGCCGACGGACAGAGACCTCAGAATGTTGCTGAACCTACCCTACATCACCGCAGTGTCTCAACTAAAGGAGCAAGTAAACAGGAGCTGAAGAACGCCAGCGGGGGAGATTTCAGAAGAGCCGGTAGCTTCTACACAGGCAGTCCACCGGTCTTCACCGGGCGGTGTTCCTAGGGCTGAACCCCGTCAAACAGGGCTGGGTATGCAACCGAGGGTTACGGGTTGAGCGCGGAAGACGGATCAAGCATGGTGGCGTTGGGCCAATCCCCAACCTACTCAGGAGTCTCATGAATTGAACAACAAAGAAAACCACTTGAAACGAAGAGGTAGTATGCACCCGGTGTGTGATGTCTCACGAGGTCAATCCCAAGCGATAACGCATCGTGAGTTGACATTGTGACACGCTTGAGTTTCGGTGACCCGAAGCAGACCTTGATTGACGATCTCTCTGAAGCTAGGAAGCTTCATGTGGCTGCAGCATGAAAGAAAAGAAAATGAAGCTTGAGCAAGCCACACCACTACGTGCTAGGTACTGAAGCAACAAAAATGGTCACGATGAAGGTCCTATTCTCAATCCACACCGAAACTAAACACGGCGCGTCAATTTGGAAGACGCTGGGACTCTCGTCATTAGGCAGCCACGCCCAGAAAGAGCGAGACGTTGAGCCACGTCCATAGGCATTGCCACATTTTACCAACAACAACTAAAAATCGTTGAGCTGACTTGTTGAAGGCGGACACGCCGGCACAGGGGGTGATATTGGGACAACCTGAACCGTTCGCGAGTCAACACCATGCATGACTGGGTAGCCTTCGTTAGGGCGAGATGCAGAGCAGCGAACGGATGATAGCAGGCAAAAGAACTGGCTTTCACCAGGCTGCTCCCCCTCATCTTCTGGCTTGAAGTGGGTATCTCGGTATCTCGCGGCTGAGACATGGATGTTCAGCTGCGGACTCGTCTACCTGTGTGTTCTGGTATGTTAGCACAGCTGAATCGTCGATCATTAGGTAGCCGTGCTTCCTTTTTGCTATGAATTCTCACATCCGAAGCACTTGTCCTTTTCGAAGATCACGCCCTCCCCCTCTTAAGCCAAAAAGCGGCACACGCCCTAGAGGCATCAAGAAGTGACGCGGCGGTACACAGGCGACATTCACGTATAGCGCAAATGCTACGAACAGGTGCGGCAGAAGGATCGTACTTGTTACTTGCCCCTATGAGATGCTGACGCGTTTTCTCAGAGCTTGGGCACCTCGTTGAAGATACTGAGGCAGAAAGTGCGCTTTGAGAACGGGGGCGGGACAGGGCTGAGAGAGACAATGAAGACGGCGTATCGTAGAAGTCTGGGAACAGATATCGGAGGCGGCCGAGAAGCCAGCAGGAAATCATACTCGGGGAAGGGATGAGAGATGCGACGATAGAGGGAAATACGTACGGGTTGCCCAAACTCTGAGGGCTGGTAATGATCATAGAACATGAGTTCATCATACCCAGCACTTCCCTTCTCCGTTCTCTCCCGGATTCTGGGAGCCAGAATAGCTTGAAAGAAGACCAATCTGTACCATTAGCTTGCAACCATGCTGAGTACTCCATTGAGAATTAACAAGGCGTCAATTTGAATGCCAACCTAGCCTGCTTCAATGCTGTAGATATCTCCAAACGCCATGATGCAGGACCCTCGTCCAAATTCCGCCCTTCCTTCGCCACCCATGTCTCATCAAAATCAGCTGGCCTGCCGGTCGCAAGATGGACCACAACAGCTCTCCAATCCTAGCCATCCTCACAGCTCCCATGAAGCCTGGAGCTCAAGGACGAAAAAACAATAAGTATCCCCAAGTTGCTCCCCTCTCAATCCTCGCCCAAGCTCTCCCTAACACAGGCCCGACACCGTCTCCGGAAATCCTTATTCTTGCCCTCCCGCTCCTCGCGAAACATGCGCGCGGCCTCGACGTTGGCGGGCGACTCGTCGTTGGGCCCGTGGAAGAGGCTAATGGTGCTAAGGAGAATCGTCTCGGGGCTCTGGACGGGGGACCACCGCTCAGAGGCCGCCTCGTAGCCGTACTGGTCCTCCTCGGGCGGGTGGAGGATCGAGATGCAGAGCCGGCCGTCCGGGTAGATGTTTGGGTGGAAGGGGATGGGCGTCTGGAAGGTGAGGGAGGGCGGCATGAGGGGGTAGTTTGCCGGGAAGGTAAGTCTGGCGCGGAAGTTGCCTCCTGTGTTTTGGGGGGAGAAACATGTTAGCCTATTGCGCGCAGGCAGAATGTGAGGGTTCGGGGAGGGGGCAGCCAGTTCGGTAAGCCCTAAATGCCGG